CTGAGGTCTGGGCGGCCGTCTACAGTGTCGATTGCCTCCAGGCCGTCCTGCAGAGGTTACTCCGGGTCATCATCTGGAGGCAGGCTGGCAGGATTGATGGCCAACATCTTGTGGAACTTGATGCGGGGTCTGGCTTGGAGTGGCAGTGGCCAGCAATTAAATGATCTCTGGAGGAGATCACGTCCGAGTAGGGGGTATGGGCACTCCGGCAGGAACAGAAACAAATGAGTTACAGTATTTTTCCCAAGGTCTATAGTCCTCTTTGAAGTCCAGGGGTAGGTTAGGGCCCCATTGGCTCGGTCAAGACTGAGTCTGCTGCACCAGTGTCTATTAAGAAACTAACTAGTTTATCCCCTATTATTTAGTATTATTCTGGGTTTCAGAGGGCTCAGTTGGAAGGAGCCCTGGCCCTGTCATTTTCCTAAATTAAGGATGGCTTTTTATTTTGTTTTTCTATACCTGACTTTGTTTTTGTCTTTTCCTAACTGGGACCTAGGCCTGTGGTCCTGACCCTTTTTTATATTTCCCTTCCTAGGGTGACCCTATTCTATGTGCCCTGTTTCTCTTAAGGCTGCTATTACTACCTTTGCTAATTCAGCCAATTGGGCCAATAGGCCTTACAGGGGAACACGGTGAAAAGTGTTCTAAGGAAGCCCTTCCCCCGACAGTATTTGGGTCCTACCGTGGGCAGAGGAATGGGAACATTTCCTCTGACCCCAGGTTTACAAAAGGACACAGGAAAGGGGAGCAATGTCTTAACATTGTTTACACGGGGCAGAGTGGCTTTTTTTTTTTTTTAACTCTCTAAGAGAATTTCGTATCCATGCCTGGGATCCCTAAAGTTCAGAGAAGCCTGTTGGAAACTAGTTGCTGTCAAACCCGCTGTGGACGAGCAGCCCGGGCTGGCATTTCAATGGTTAAACAGTTTGCCTGTGAGAATATTATTAAGCCTTGCAGAGAGGTATTGAGACCTCATCATAAAGAAGCTAGTATATCTGAACACATCTATATCTATTCAGACATTGGGTCCCCCTATACACAGGGGACACAGCAACTGAGGCTCTGAGAGAAGCCTGCCCTGCCGACAAGGCAGGGGAAAGCGGCAAAGAATTATTATCTTTTTTTATTCCTTTATGTCAATTTTTATTTTCCATCATTCATAAATCTTAAATTTTTATTATTTTTATAATTTTCTTTTCATAAAGCCCTTCTCAGGTGGAGACCCAAGTACATTAGAGGTTTCATTTTATTCATGCTATAGTAACTATAGCTCAGATTTATTTATTTATTTTTTTCTATTTATATGTGAGTACATTATCACACCATGAAAGAAAAAACTTTTTTAGTTAAACTAAAAAGAGCCTGATCTTTAGGCCTCTGGGGCTTAATTATGTTCTTTCTTTAAATAATTCAAGCATGACTTTACAAAATATATTATAAGCCCCTTTAAAGTGAGGACTGTTTGCATAACCCACAGCGTTAGCAGAGACCCCCGTATAAGAGGCATCTGTGCATCTGCTAAGTGAACAAATAATCACTCTTAGTAGTGTATATGCTCTTGCATTTGGAGTGTGTTGTCCTCTTATCTATTTTTTAGTGAGGAAACAGACTGTGTTAAGCCATCTGCACTGATTTGATTTCCTTTTATAAGGAGAGAACATAAATCTTTGAGGAATTCCAGGTCTTATTGGAATGACTCAAAACTAATTCCAGGTCAAGAAAAAGTTTCTTAAAATTCGAATCCTGGAAAGGTTGTCAAACATATTTGACCAAAAGATTATATAGTATTATATATATATAATTAAATAGTATTCAATTATTTATTTAAAGTGACAATGACAAATGTTAAACATAGGTCAGTGAAACTTCAGTTCTTATGATTTAAAAATGGCTCTTTAAGGAATCAAGTACTTGATTAACATAACATAAAACCACTTCAATAACATATATATAACTTTTGCTTTCCAGGCAAATATTGGGAAAAAAATGTTTTCCCCTTTTAACAGGCTGAAAAAGAACCAAATAAATTCTATATTAATTTATTTTATTTATAATTTCTTTCTAAGATTTCTCTTAACAAATCTTTTAACTTTTATAAACCTTTTTATCTAGTCTGAAATAACCAGTTTTAGAACAATTTTAAAAATATATATATTTCTATATCTTATATTTTCCTTTATTAAAACTATATAATTTCTTTTTAACCTAATCTGAACTTTTAACTTTTAGAAACGTTGAATATTTTTTCTTTTTTTGACAAGTACAAGTAATTAACATTCCTCTGATTAGCAAATATATTCATATTTTCAATAGACATTTTTTAATCAATAGATTATTAACAGATCTAAATTCATCTTATAGCTTTTCTGTAATAAGAACCCAAAGTAGGCAAACTCAGTTTAATTGACATTTTTGTATACCTCAAGGGGGTCCTGAAGGATGGGATAGAATTTCCTCGGGGGCTGGGAGGAGTTAACTGTCCTTCAGGACAGGCGGAGGCATTGTTAACAAAACTTTTTTTCCTTTCATTTGAACCTCCGGACACTGACATTTCTAATTCAAATATTGTATACTTTTGATCAGGGTGGGGAACCCCGTACATAACGGACCTCACAGCAAACAAAAGATTCAAGTCAAAAGACCCTTCGGATGGCTAATTAACTCGGAATGTTGGCCACTCCAACTCACAGAGGGTCCGGAGGACCCCAGGATCGGCTGGTGTTCTGTAGCCTTGGGATCTCCTGGAAAAGTCAGAAAAGTTAGCAAGAATGCATTCAAGGGGGGTACAGGGCTTTGACGGTCCTGTCTCATCCTACGGAAAGCAAAACAGTTAGAGCAGCAGAGAACACGGAACACAGACAGACAGACAACCGCGGTCAAAACACAAAATACTAATTTCAGAACAGACGCATCCGAAAGTGCCAGATGGAAACCCACCGGGTCTCCTGCACCCGAAAGTGCCAGACGCACCCGAAAGTGCCAGATGCACCCGAAGGTGCCAGATGGAAACCCACCGGGTTTCCTGCACCCGAAAGTGCCAGATGCACTCGAAAGTGCCAGATGCACCCGAAAGTGCCAGATGCACTCGAAAGTGCCAGATGGAAACCCACCGGGTTCCCTGCACCCGAAAGTGCCAGATGCACTCGAAAGTGCCAGATGCACCCGAAAGTGCCAGATGCACTCGAAAGTGCCAGATGCACTCGAAAGTGCCAGATTAAAACAGATTGGTACCAATTTCAGAACAGATGGAAACCCACCGAGTTTCCCAGGTCAGGAGTCGGCGTCCCGACCCTGAGGGGGAAGTGCGGTTCAGCGGCGTCCCGCCCGCAACAATCCCAGAACGCTCCGGAGCTACCGAACAGAAAACAGATGGAAGGGGAAATCCCTTACCCAGATCCTCGAGGCTGAAGTCTTAGTCCGAATTAGCCGAATCAAAGCCAGAATGAATGTAGGTGCGGAGGGCGAGGAGGCAGCCCTCCGCGTAGTCTGAGGAGGTCGACCCCACGGAAAAGGGGGACCTCGCGGCTGATCTCGCTGGGGCCTCCAAATGTTGTAACCCAGGAGATCGACCACACTCAGACTCCATTTTTCAGTTTTTGGGGATGTTTTATTACCTGCGCAGGGACTGCAGCCAACCTACACAGAGGAGAACTGCAGCCCCGAGCTCAGGGGGAGGGTTGCTTATATAGGGCCGGGGTCATTCAAGAGTTTGGCAGAGCAAGCAAGCTGCTTGTACAGAAGCGGAGGCAGTTAGCGATAAGCAGGAGGGAACGGAGGGGGGAGGGAGCTGGGGCGAAAGGGACTGGGTGAACTGGGTCAGCATACATCTGTCCTGCTATTCATTCCATTATCCAAGTTTTAAAAACTAACAAATTCGAGACAGATATCAGCGGTCAGTCAGGTGCAATACACACATGTTGAACAGTTACAGTTTTATGGGGTAAAGGGAGCTTCAGTTTCTCCCTATCAGTTTCTTTACAGAGCATGCAGGACACTCTGGCCTTGGGGCCGTTTCTGTCCTCCCTTTTCTTGAAGGATGTTGCTTTTCAAATTCCCAGTGAAGGTCAAACTCTAGTTAATTTTTATGGGGCTAAAGCCCTCTATAACATTCCCCATTGTTCATCTTGCTGTCTCTGAGGTTGTTAATTAGGGCAGCTTAAAGACAAGTTGGATTCTAAGGACAGTGAGCTACAACACCAACGATGGGGAAATACGAACAGAACACATTCCCACTAAACCTCGCTCCCTAGGGCCAAATGAAACAGCAAAAAGAGTCTCAAGTTGAAGAAAAAACCTCAAACTTCTATAAACTTTGTGGAAACACAATAATAAACGGCTATTTCCAAAGAGTTGCCAACATACACTGAAATTTTGGTAAACTTAAGGAAGGTCACTAAGGGCAGGACCCAGACCTCTGATGAATTTTTTAAATACAGTAGTAAACCCGTCCAGCCGCTGTGGCTCAGCGGTTGAGCACCAACCCATGAACCAAGATTCCCGGTCAGGACACTTACCCAGTTTGTGGGCCCCATCCCCAGGTTGTGGGCCCTATCCCCAGTGTGGGGCAGGAGGCGGCGGCCAATCAATGTTCCTATCTCCCTCTCACTATAATCAATAATATTAAATAAATAAATTATATATATTTAAATACAGAAGCAACCCCATAATGGCATATACTATGCCAGGAAAACGAGGGATCCGAGGTTCGAATCCTGTGTCTGCTCATCATTCGCTCCAAAACCTCAAACTGCGTTAGTTTCATCACCTGCAAAAAGTTGATAATGATCAGTCGCCGGGCCTCTACGAGGGTCAACGGAAAGAAATTCTCCATTCTGTGGCCCCAATTAGGTTCCAGGTGGAAGCCGCGCCCCACTCAGGTACTGCCACGCCACAGCAGCGAGGCATCTCGGGACCTATAGTCCCCCAGCCGGAACTCGCTGTCCCGATAGGCCCCGCGGCAGCGGCGGGGGTACGTGGCGCGGACGGTTGCGGCTGCGCAGCCGGGTGGGGCAAGATGGCTGTGGAGCAGTGTGTGCGAGTCGTCGGGCCTTGTCCGGGAGTGGGGATGCGTTGGATGGTTCGGACGGTCCTTCTGCTGCTGTGGTTTGCGGCTCGCGGAGGCGCGCTCTACTTCCACATCGGGGAGACAGAGAAGAAGTGCTTTATTGAGGAGATTCCGGACGAGACCATGGTTATAGGTGCGGGGGGAGGTGGAGAGTTGGGAACTAGAACACGGTCTTGGTGCGCAGGGTGTGCGAGTCAGCAGCGCTTCAGAGCTGGGAGCTGCTGGCCTTTCGGTGCTCTGGCTGCCGCGGACCTACAGCCACCTTGCGCTCCTCTGACCTGGGCTCGCCCCGCTTCCCTCCAGGAAACTATCGGACGCAGCTGTATGACAAGCAGCGGGAGGAGTACCAGCCAGCCACCCCTGGGCTTGGCATGTTCGTGGAGGTGAAGGACCCGGAAGACAAGGTTAGCCCGCCCCTTTGCCCCGCTGAGCGTTAATGCGGTGCGCTTTAGCGCTAGACCAGGCAGGCGCTAGTACTTCCCCTCCTAGTTTCCACATCTGTTAAATTGGTAAAAAATGGTTGGTGGTGTGGGAAAATACCGGATTTTCACTCCAGGCCTAATTGAGGCTGTTGTAATGCTGGCTCTCCTCTCAACCTCTTACTGACTGCCGCATGATTCTGTCAAGTCAGTTACCTTCTCTAAGCCATTTACTGGTGGCTTGTGTAATGGAAATTTATCTACCTTATAGGTGTGATGGGCGGATTAATTGTGGTGCTGGGAAACAAATAATTCTGACAACCTTAAAGTTGTGACATCTACACTTTAGGCCCTAAAATGGTTCTCAACTTTCCTAATGCCACGGGCATGTGGGCGAACCCACCTGGAGATGGATAAAGGAGCGGAGTCTCGGTGCCTAAGACATCGGAAATACGTGTTTTCGGATGGTCTTAGGTGACCCCTGTGAAAGGGTCATTCCACCCTCAAAGGGGTGGAGACCCATAGGTTGAGAATCGCTGCTTTAGGATTTCATAGAACAGTGTACTTTCCAAAAAGAATGAGCAGCTTTAAATTTTGACAACTAAAGATTGAAACCAAAAAACCTCAAAACCATTTAGCTGTTACCTTTCACTTAGAAAAAGAATTGCACTTAAAAAAATAATTTATTTTTTATTTATTTATTTATTTTATTTTGAATTTATTCTTTTTTTTTTTTTTCCCTCACCCGAGGACATTTTTCCATTTTTTGTTCAGGTAGAGTGGGAGGGAGAGAGAGGAACAGAGAGAGAGAGAAACATCGATGTGAAAGGAACACATCGAGTGGCTGCCACCCGCACAACCGACCAGGGCCGGGGACAAACTGCAACTGAGGTACGCGCCCTTAGCGGAAACCGAACCCGGGTCTCTCAGGACCACAGGCCCACGCTCTAACCGCTGAGCCAAACCGGCCAGGGCATAAAAAAATAATTTAAAGGGCATGAGGTATGAATAAAGGAAAACCTCCTTTACAAGAGCAGTCACACACCAACCTAATGTTTGATTCTTTACCCCTGTTCCAAGTACTTCTCAGACAGGCTTTTTGATAACTGCTTCTGAGCATCTTTGGACCTTTTAGTGTTGTGGGATGTCTAATGCTCTGCTTTCCAACTTTTGAGGCTTAAGCACCGTCTAGCTCCATGCGGTAACACTCACCAAAGCCCTTTCTCTCCAGGTCATTCTGGCTCGGCAATATGGCTCTGAAGGCAGGTTCACTTTCACGTCCCATACCCCTGGCGAGCATCAGATTTGTCTTCACTCCAATTCCACCAAGTTCTCCCTTTTTGCTGGAGGCATGTTGGTAAGTGGACTTATTTGGGACTCGTACTTACTTCAGCCTTTAGCCCCTGGTCAGGACTGGGGACTGGTAATACTGTGGGTGTGAGATGAATATGTAGGATTTTGTGTCTTCTAGTAAGACTGGATTTCCAATGAACACCCAAGGCAAAGTTGTGGAACTCTTTGTATATGCCTTGGTCAGAGCATCAGCCAAGGCTTATTCTTTCCTGTGTGCCTCGAGACTCATAGAGCTAGACACTGAGGAGGCTTCATCAGTGTTGGCTAAATGGACAATTTAAGGAAGGTCGGGGGACTGGCTGTCAGTCCCTGGCAGGAAGAGTGAGCAGAGCTACCTGATTATCTTTATCTTCTTTGTCTGTTCACAGAGAGTTCATCTGGATATTCAGGTGGGTGAACACGCCAATGACTATGCAGAAATTGCTGCCAAAGACAAGTTGAGTGAGTTGCAGCTACGAGTGCGACAGCTGGTGGAGCAAGTGGAGCAGATACAGAAAGAGCAGAACTACCAGCGGGTCAGTGGTTAGGCTGGGATCAATGGATTTCTCAGAGGCTGCCCACTGGCTCAGCCAGGAGTTACATAGCAGATTTATTATGAAACCCAAGAGACATACCTGTTTATGCTACTTTGCAAGTCTAAAAGGTGGGATGGCTATTATTAATTCTACTTTGTAATTGAGGAGGCAGTTCTTAAGAGGCCATTATTGCCCTAGGTCACATGGAGCAGGAATTGATACCAATATCTTGGGTGTTATTTTCATGGCCCTAGGTGCTCCCAGGACCAGGGGTTTCAAACTCACCTTTGTCTAGGAGTTAGGCAGGTTCCATGAATGGATATATGACCGTAAAGATTGGTAGGACAGTGACCTACCTACACAGGGACAGCTACTGCTGTCAGCCGAGGAGAGCCTTATAGAAATGCTAGCTAGCCTTGGGTTTTAAGAGGAGCTAGAGGTCCAGGTTTTTTATGTGAAAATTCTTGGGTTTTAAATGTTGGCAAAATACCATGTGAGCCAGACAAAATACATCTATGGGCCAGGTGCAGCCCTTGGGCCACCAGTTTGTAGCCTGTGTCCACAGTCTTCAAGGAGCAGTCTGGGAGACCTGGGCAGAGGCTTCAGAGCAAGTCCACTCCTGAGCACTTCAGGACAGCTCTGTCTGATGGAGATACTGAAACTACTTTACCTCTCCTCTAAGCACAAGGGTAGGTGAGGGTTGTACCTGACAGATGAGCAAACAGACTTAAGTTGCCTGAGGTCATCTGGCTAGTGAGGGTAAAGACAGTCTCCATATAGGGTGGCTCTTTGTAGCACTTGATTGATTGGCCCTGAGGCATCTTCCAGAGAGGGAACGCAGCAGTTCTAACAGCCCCAAGTGGGGCCCAGCCAACTCGGGCTCTTTTTCCATTTTCTCTTCCCACAGTGGCGAGAGGAGCGCTTCCGGCAGACCAGTGAGAGCACCAACCAACGGGTGTTGTGGTGGTCCATTCTGCAGACCCTAATCCTCGTAGCCATTGGTGTCTGGCAGATGCGACATCTCAAGAGCTTCTTTGAAGCCAAGAAGCTGGTGTAGCCAACCTTCCTCCCAGGCTGGGGGAAAGGGGCCTCCTGGAACTGATTTCTCTGGCAGGAGGACTGGTTCCCAGCCATGGATGTTCTGGAGGGGAGAGGGGTCACAGGCATGCCAGGCACAAGCTCAGTTGGCTAATACTGAGCAGGTGGTGGGGCAAATGCTTGCTCCCACCCCTGGGCTCTGGGCCTTTTGCAGTAATCTGCTAGGGGCTGTTGAAGCCTCTAGGAGTCCCACTGGCACCTCAGAATCACAGTGTTACTGATCAGGGATGTGAGGCTGTTGCCTGGGGTAGTTGTGGGGAGGGGAGTGGGCGGGCAAGCCAGTTCTCTTTTTGTCTTCCTTTGCTAACTTGGGATTTTGAGCAGGTTGGGGTGTAGCTGTGATTCTTTGCCAACCTGAGAACCTCCTTGGGCCTAAACCCAGCCTGCTGATCCAGTGGGTGTGTGTCAGTTGAGGGTGGGTTGGAGGGGGTTGCAATGTGGGAAAGTGGTCCTGAAGTTGACCCCAAGTTCTTCACATGGTTGTCCTTTCTGGGGCTTGAGGAACTGGGGTCAGGACCAGCAGAAGTGTTGGTGCTGGCTGGAGATAGGGCCTGCAGCGTCTTAGTTACTGATTAAACTTTCAACAAGCCTAGGTTTGTTACATTGGTTTCACAATAAAAAATTTAAAAATAGACATGTTGTCCAGTGTAAACTACGCTACTGTCAGTGGGCATAGCACTTTGAGGTGCTTCAAGGAATGTCAGTTCTTCCAATGAGCAAAACACTTCATATTCCAAGATGAGTATCCGCCTGTGAACTTCATTCTTTTCATTCTTTCCATATCTTCCCACAGCATGGGATTGTGGTTTTGCCCAAGAACATCCAACAAGTAAATTGGGTTGGGGCTCAAATCCACACTGTTTCCTCTGCACCAGCTCCCTCATGAAGTACTCTCTCTGTCTTTCCAGAGTAGGTGGACTTAGAATAGACTTGTTATGGTGCTGCAAGGAAGTGCCTGGTGAGAAGAGTGTGCTTTAAATAGGAATGCTTCAGGTGGGGGAAGGACAAATCCCTGGGCTGGTAGGGATAATGATGTTTATGAGGTTAACCAGTAGCATGGAATTTCAGCAAGGATTTTGAAGGAGAAGAAGGATTCTGATGAAAGGAGATGGCAGGGGTGGTTGAGGGAAGTGAAGACAAAGTTGGTATGGAAATGGATGAGCATTGTTTCAGCTGGAGTTGGTAAGAATTGTGAGAAGGCTAGAAAGGAAGGTTGGTTAGAATTAGAAGAGCCTTGAGCGCCAGGTAAGAGATTTGGACATTAGCCACTCTTTAACAAAGCTTTCTGTAGAAGAATCTCCTGAATACAAATTTGAGGAAGGTTGATCCAGCAGTGTTTGAGAAAGATGGAGTAGGGAAACAGTTTGGGAGGGCTACTGGACCTGCTGGGTGGATGTAATCTGAGCTCATAGTACCACCTATTCCTCCACATTTAGAAAAAAGGAACTTTAGTAGAATTACAAAAAAATTGTGGACATAGTTTCACCTATTATTATCATGTATTAGCTTGATACATTTGTTACAAATTCATGAATCTAGCAATACAATATTTTTAAAGTCCATACTTACCTTAATGCAGATCTCCTGAGTTGTTACCTAATGTCCTGTTTCTGTTACCGGATCCCATCTATAATACCATCTATGATTACATTTAGTTGTCTTGTCTTTGGGTTTCTTTTGGCTGTGACAGTTTCTCAGTTGGGATTTACTGTTTTTCTTCTGACTGGAGTGGGTTCTGGGCATTTGAAAGGAAGACCACAGCAGTGAAGTGCCATTTTCATCCCATCATATTAAGGGTACTTATAATCAACATGACTGTGGATGTCAGTTTAAAATTAGTTAATTTGGGTTTTTTAATGTGAAATCTGATTTCTTGAGATAAATAGATCTGACATTAATGGGACAACAATTAGCTGGACTGAATGGTACCTGTTTCCTTTAGATGGGCTTGTGCTCTTCAATCACAGTCCTGCCTCCCTGCTTCCATCATTGGTCTTGACTGACTGGTCTCTGCAGGGGGTCAGCCTTGCCTTTGTCATTAGCCAATTCTAAGCTGGATTTGCCAAGGCTCTAGTAAAGGGTTCAGTGTCCTGGGAGAGTTCTGCAGGATGGGGACTAGTGGGTTGTATGCTGCTGGACCCATAGTGGAGTCCTTTTGAAAGCAGAGTGGTTGAGACCATAGGTTTTGCAACCAAACTACCTGGGCTTAATGATGATTTGCCTCTGCCTTAGTTCAATCATCTTTAAAGTTGGCATAATAAGCACAATACTCAAGGACTGAATGAGATGACAGCAGTAAAGAATTTAGAACAATGACCATATGCAGTAAGAACTCGATAGATGTTAGCTATTTATTGAAAAAGTTATAATTTGCCTAGAAGAGCAGAGGAGATCAAGTCTAATAATTAGCACTCTTCCAAGGTGGGAAGCTGGTCCAGCGGGAGCTCAGTTCCCACCGTGACAGGGCAGATATGGGAGTTCAATCTCCTTACAGTATTCCCTTTAGTTCTCACTTCAGCTCCACCAAAGTACTCCCTGTCCTGAATGATAGCTATCATTAATATAGCGTTGACTATTGTCCCGATATCTGTACCAAGCATATTTTTTTCCTTTAATTGTCACAGCAACCATGTAGATCAGGAGCCATGTATATACTCAGGTGAGGGAACAGACAGATGCAAAGAGCTTGTGTCTTGCCGCCAAACAGTTGAATTGGGAGTCAGGTTTCCAATTTAGTCCCTGTCTTTAGTGCCCGGCTCCTAACTACATGGAGTATCAGTAGAACCCAAGACTAAGCCCTGAACTTGGCTTTGCAGTCCTCCAAGATTGTTGCAGAGGAAGAAAGCACCTGAGTTGACAGCAGGGGTGCCCAGACAGACGCTCCCCGCCTTCCCTCGGGAAGAGGAGGAAGGCGCAAATTACCCCAGGGCGTTGGCTTGGAGTCTTAAATCCAATCTCAGCCCAGTGACTTGAGCCCTTTCTGGGGCCTCAGTTTCATGGGATGTTGAGAGGGGCGGGCCGTTAGCAGTCAGGTGGTAGGAGTGCTTACGTGTTCCTCCGCACGCGGAACCTTTGACGCCGCAGCGCGGGGAGCAGACGGCCGGGCCGGAGCAGAGGATCCGCAGGACTGAGGGGCTGGGCGACGGGGCTGGGCGGAGCGGGAGCCGGAGGCGCCGCGTAGGCCGAGGAGGCCGGGCCCGCCCGGCTGGGAGCTCGAGCCCCATGCGCGGCCGCCGCCTTCCCCCACGATGTTCCCCTCCCGCAGGAAAGCGGCGCAGCTGCCCTGGGAGGACGGCAGGTGAGTGGCGGCGGCGGCGGCGGTCCCGGGCCCTGTCCTCCGGGTGCCGATCTTTTCCAGGCCGCGGGGCGGAATGTGGGAGCCCGCGGCCGTTCTGTCTCATCTTTGTGGGGCTCTCTGAGGATCTGTGGTTCTCCTGTGGGTCACTGGCTCTCTATTTGTGTGTCTGTCTCTCCCAGTCTACGTCAGTCTCCGTCACCCGTGGGTCTGTATTTCTCCGTTGACTTCCCTTTGTGAGTTTTTGTTTCTCTCTTTGCAAGTCGTTTTCTCTTGAGGGTTTTTCTGTGTTTTTCCACCGGCCTCTATCTTCGTGCTGATCTCTCAGTAGATCTCTTTCTGTCTGTGGAGTCAGCCCTGGGCAGGAATTCTCTTTTAATAGCCATGTGACCAGAAACAGATCACTTAATCTTTCTGACCTCAGCTTTTCCATCCTCGAAATCGGGATCACAATAAATACTTTGCAGGGCTGTATGAGGGTTAAAGGAGACAAACATGTAAAATCCATGACACTGTGCCTGGCACAGAGGAGGTATCTTCCAGTTACCTTTGTCGTTTGGAGGTGCTATAATCAGAGCATTTTAGTATTCAAACCTTGTATCACTAAAATTTGTAAGAGAAGAAAGGAAAGGTAATGGAGGAAATTTTCCATTTCCTGATCCCATCCCGTAAACCTTTGGAAAACAACTGTGTTCCCAGAAACAGTTACTGATACCTATTTTTGCTTTTGACACAGGGGTACAAAAATCCATGCAACAGATGCAGGCTAATGTAGCAATTAAGAATGCTGGCTGTGGAGCCAGCTCACTTGGGTTTGAATCTTCTCTTTTCTAGCCTTGGTCACAGATTGAGGGAGACAACACCCTCCTAGTCTGCCCCTCAGAGCAGGGTGGCTTGGGCATGGGAGCAGATGGGACTGCAGATCTGGAATTTGCCACCAGGTGGCATCAACAGCAACTGTTCTCAGTATCGTCCACCAGCCTGATGAAAAGGGATTCTGCCCTGAATTAAGTTCAGTGGTTTGGACCTTTAACAGCCCTGGATGAGAGTACCCATGGGGATGTGATCCTGATGAGAAGGGAAAGTTAGACAGAAGAAACAGCATGTGAGAGTGCATGGAATGCCCAATTCATGCCATACCCCTGGGTAATGATCACTGCTTCTTCCTCCAAAGGTGGGTTAGTTCCCCATGTCCGTCTTCCTGGTCTCAACCCTACCCCCAGAAAGAACTCAGAGGGAGATTCTGTAGAGGCTCCAGCCTTCCCAGGCCACTGGCAGGATTGGGTTCTGCTCCTCCCCATCGGAAACCCCCAGCACAGGACAGTGGCGGGGGGTGGTAAGTCAAAAGCCCCTGTGAAGGTGTCCTACCCAGCCATCTCTCTGCTATGTGTGGAACCTGGACCTGGCTTCAGAGCTGCTGGCTTCCTGGTTGGCAGTTGTACCACTAGAGAGAGGCAGGAGTTGGTGTGGCTGTAGTGTATAACTTAAAGCATGCTCTGACTGCTCAAACCCTTTCTATAACTCACTTAGCATGCCCTCTGCTGTGTTGCTTGTGCTAGGGCCACAGAAAGGAGCCTGATTACCTATGGGGAAGACAATCAGAGACTCAGGTGGTTAGAAACCTCTAAGTGCTCCACAGAGTGAAGTACCAGATGCTATGGAACACAGAAGAAGGTGCATGTATCTCAGTTTGTGTATGTGGGGAGATGACCATGACATTGGAGTTTGGCCCTGAAGGATCAGTGAGGGGCTTTCAGACAGATAAAATAGGAAGGGGATTTTAGGCAGAAGCAGCAGGCTGTGTGAGGGCTGGAACAGGAATATGGTGAGCAGAGCAGCTTAGAGTTGCCCAAACTGTAGCACTGGGTGAGTAATGGGGGGCAACTGGAGATGGGGCCAAGTCACAGAGGTATTTGGTTGTCAGGCCAAGGAATTTGGTTTTTATCTTGTAAACAGAAGAGGATCATCCATGAGATTGAAGAGATCTATGAGCCAGGCAAGGACCAATGAAACCTGAGCTAAAAGAGAGTTAGTAGGTGAGGAAGGGTCAAGCTGCACTTAGGAAGTAGTATCTATAAGGCTAGTAGCTGCATGGTGACTCGTAGGGGTTATAAAGGAGGTTGCTTTGTTGATTATTTTATGGAGAGTAGTGCAGAGGAAGCCTCCTTTTTCTTGGATTCCTCAGCTCCTCCTTCACTATTCTCAGGAACTTCCAGAAAGAAGGGCAAAAGAATCAGATGAATTCTACTTGTTTCTTTGTACTTTCTATAACCTAAAGGGCAATCTCTCTCAGCACCACTGCAGTGTTTAAAGTATCCAGCTGTTTTCCCAATTTCTGAAGTGAGCTTGGGTGCTGGCCCCGGCCCCAATCTTTCTTTCCCTCATCCATCATTTCATGTCACATGGGCTGCCTGTTGGACTGAAGCTTTCAGACTTGTTCAGTGAACTGCCACTGTCAGTTTGGGCCTTGCATTGGTTTGGAGGCAGACCTAATTTTCCCAAAGTAAACATTCGATTTTTCACTGGGGACTTATGCCAGCACAGGCCCAGGTCTTGGGGAGCTCTCTGGTGTGAGAAGCAGGATGAAGCCAACCTTTCAGCTGGCAGTGAACATGCAGGGTATGGAAGGCAGTGGGTGAGATCTCTAAGTACTGGCTTCTGCTATCAGCTCAGGACAGGAACCACTGTCCTGGGGAGGGTTGAATGCAAGAGACAAGGAGCCTTATGCCTGCCTTCATGGTCTGACCAGGGCTCACTCACCGAAAATAAGAGAGCATCAAGGAATGGGCAGCTCTGCGACCCAGGAGTGGTCGGAGGGCTTTCTGGAAATGAGGGGCATGGGCTGGGCCTAGAATAGCAAGCGGTATTCTGACACAGTAGCAACATGAGCAAAAACATTAAAGTTGCTTCTGCACTAATTCCCAGGTTCTTGGGGCAGACCAGTCATGTGTGCCCTACTTGTGGGGAAGCCAGAGAAGGGGTCTATCACAGGGCCCCGGCTCAGCCCTGCCCTTCTGACCCATCCCTGCTCTTGTCCCAGGTCCAGGCTGCTCCCCAGCAGCCTCCCCCGGAAATGCTCCGTCTTCCACCTCTTCGTTGCCTGTCTCTTACTGGGCTTCCTCTCCCTGCTCTGGCTGCAGCTCAGCTGCTCTGGTGACGTGGCCTGGGAAACCAGGGGACAAGGGCAGGAGACCCCAGGTCCACCCCGGGCCTGCCCCCCAGAGCCTCCCCCTGAGCACTGGGAAGAAGATCCATCGTGGGGCCCACACCGCCTGGCAGTGCTGGTGCCCTTCCGCGAACGCTTTGAGGAGCTCCTGGTCTTTGTGCCTCATATGCATCGCTTCCTGATCAGGAAGAAGATCCTACACCACATCTACGTTCTCAACCAGGTGGATCATTTCAGGTAGGGACTACCTGACCTTGCTCCCTTTCTCCAGAGGTTTCACTTTGTCCAGGTCTTTCAGGGCCTGCTCCCTTTCCTGGCAGCAGCCCAATGCTAGTGGGCCTCAGGCCTGTGAAGGGCCACCTGGGTCAGTGGCAGGTGGGTGGGAGGCAGGACACCTCTCACTGGGGGTGACAGAAATCTTTGGGGAGAATTTGGGGCTGGGGAGGATCCTGATCTGATTTCCATTTTAAAATGTGGATGCTGAATGTATGTGAAGTAGATTATACCAGGGCAAGAGGAGGAGCAGGGAGAGTTGTGGGTGGTCACTGCAGTTGTCTGAGATGATGGGGACTTGGCCAGCATGGTAGAAGGGATGGAGGAAGCACAGACAGGGCTTTCTAGTGGATTGGTTGTGAGGATTAGGCAAAGGGAGGGTCAAGACTACAGCTTTAAAGTTGTTCCCAGTCTGACATTATCCTGAAATCCTTGCCCTTACCAAAGTCTGCTTTCCTCCACGGTCATAATCAAAGCATCTCACACTTCACCCCCATCTTTCCCTCCAATTGGCTCCCTCTGGAGACTCCAACAGTTCTTGGACCATGGTGCTCCCAATTTTATTTCTTTTTTTAAAAATTTTATTTTGAGAGTACCTTAATTAAAGCTGGGAACAGTGAAACAGAGGAAGGGCTTAGAGTAGAGGAAGCAACAGGAGAGAGCCTAGGTGGTGCTCTGCTTTGGCTCTCTAGGAACATTATGGGCAAGAAGTGGGTCATGCTGGGCTGCGTGAATTCACTGAGAAATAAAAGTCACAATGAAAGAAGTGAGCCAAGGTGGAGCTACTGGAGCTCACGGAAAAGTCAGAGAAAAGGGGGCCTTGGAGAAAGGTTCAGGGGGTTAGCCTAGGATGAGCTGCCACTGCCCATCGCTCCCCTGGTTGCAGAACTCATGGGAACCCTTAGAGTTTAAGAGAGAAGTAAAGATACAATCCTGAGAGGGAAGAAAGATGTGGGTATGCTCTAGAGAGAGCCTACCTATGCTCCCAGTTTTCACTGCCCACCCTCCTTGTCCTCACTTTCTCCTGACCTAACTTGGATTCCATGGTCTCTCATTAAAATCACTCCCTTGCATACATCTCAGCTCCCTTGCCCCTTTCTGCCTGGCACTTCTGCCTGATGAAACCTGACTGTTTAATCTACACGTGTACCTGGGCAGCTGGATGTGACTGGAGACAATGAGCCTGGGCCCAAGAAACTCCTCATCTCTGCCTAAAAGCCTCAAATTCCTCTAGTCTGGGTCCTTGCTCTAGTTTGCTGCCTTTCCCCTCTCTTCATCCATCCTCCCCCCAACTTTGCTTTCTATTTGAGAAAACAGAACCAACTGGAAGAGAACTTGCCCAAGTCCCCATCTCTTGGCCCCACGTACCAGCTTCTGTACATGGTTGCTTTTGATGCCCTATCTGAGCTCTGGTGGGGCCAGCTCTTCCACTGGCACTGGCTCCCTTTCTGCCTCCTGCTCAAGGACATCAATCTAGCTGTGGACCCTTTTCTCTCCTACACGATCAAGTTTTTCTTCCTTCCTGCTGTTGCATCAGCAACAAAATCGCACATCGCCCACAGCTATCACCTTGTTTCTCTGCTCCCTTTTATAGCAAAACTTCTTCCGTTTCTCCCCTCGTTGTCTCTTGAACCTGTTCCACTCAGATGTTTACCACATCATGACACTAAAACAGCTCTCACTGACATCACCAGTGAACCTTATTAATCATCCTCCTGTAGACTTCTCGGCAGCATTTGCCAAGTGGATTACTTCTTCCTTTCTCAAACACCTCTGTCTGACTTCTAGGGCAGCATTCTCTGGGTCTCCTCCTTCCTCACTGGCTGCCCTTCCCACCTTCTTTACAGGTTCTGCCTCATCTCCTTGATTTCTCAGTCTTAGTGCTCCTGAGTGTCTTCTTGCTGGTTACAGTCACTTCCTGGAGGATCTCATCCAGGTTCAGGGCATTAAGTTCCATGTCTGCTCTGGTGACTCCCGAGGCTTTGTTCACAGCTCACACCTCTCTTCTGAACTCCAGACCTGCACATCCATCTACTTGTGAAGCCTTCCATTTGCTGGTCTCAGAGGCACCTTGAGCTTAACTTGATCAAAGCTAAATTCCTGATTTCCACCCACTCTAGACATGCTTCTCCTGCCTCCTATCCCATTGGGAAATGGCAACTCCATGCTTCCAGTTAGGCCGGAAAGCCTTGGAATCATCCTCCACTCTTTCTGCCTCACATGAGATACGTAGTCCATCAGCAAATCCATCTAGAATCTGCCAGCTTCTCACCGTTTTCACTGCCACCTCTCTGAGCTAAATCACCATAATCTCTTGCCTGAATTATTGTAACAGCCTCTCAACTCACCACCCTACTCCCACCTTGGCCCTCCAGTCTCTTTTCAACATTCCAACTAGAGTGATCCTGTTGCACCCTAAGTCACATTACATCGTGCCTCTGCTCTAAGCCCTCCAGTGGTCCCCCATTTCATCTGGGCCAAACCCAAGCCTGTCAGGGGCCTGCCACCCTCTGACCTCATCCTCTATGCCCCCCTTACTCATCTGCCTGGCCACGTTGGTACCTGCCCTGCCTCAGGCCTTGGCAGGCATTCTCTCTTCTGCTCAGAGCTCTTTTCCCCTGATTTCCATGGGGCTCATTCTCTCCAGCCTTCACATTTCTACTCACTCATTGCCCTGTTACCCTGGCCTTCCCTGACCACCTGTCTAAAACAACTGCCTCATGCTTTGGCCTCTTGCTTCACTTTTCTCCACAGCACTTACCACTGTCTGACTTGTTAAGTATTTACTTATTTGTTTATTTTTGTCTCCTAGTATTAGAATCTCAGCTCCTTGAGGTCAGGGCTTTGCTTTCTCACTGCTATATCTCCGGTGCTCTCAACAGTTTCTGGCACATAGTAGGTACTTAGTAAACACTTGGACAATGAATGGAGGAGCAGACATGCAGCTGAGTAGCCCCACAGTGTCAGTGTCAGCATCAGCCTGGAGGGCAGCATAGGCCCCAGGGTGGGTGCTGTAGAGGACAGGCTCTCCTGTAGAGTCTGGGGGAGAGCCAGCTCACTGTACTCTGCCCAACCTTGGCTGTCTTGTACAGGTTCAACCGGGCAGCACTCATCAATGTGGGCTTCCTGGAGAGCAACAACAGCACAGACTATATCGCCATGCATGATGTGGACCTGCTCCCTCTCAACGAGGAGCTGGACTACAGCTTCCCTGAGGCAGGGCCCTTCCATGTGGCCTCCCCAGAGCTCCACCCGCTCTACCACTACAAGACCTATGTCGGCGGCATCCTCCTGCTCTCCAAGCAGCACTACCAGCTGGTGAGGCCCAGCCAGCCTGCTTTGCTGAGCCGGGGAGTGCACACCTGGGAGGGGGCACTAGCAGGAGGAGTGGCAGTTCTGGGGCCCAGCAGGGAACCCAGAAGCAGCCAGAGACAGGAGAGAGAGCAGGAATGAGGGGTCGGTTAGGGAGGATTCAGCTGCAGCAACAGAAAACCCATGAAAGTTAGCTTCATAAAAGTGGGGTTCTGCTCTGGCCAGTTTGGCTCAGCGGTTGGAGCGTCGGCCTGCGGTCCGGAGAGACCTGGGTTTGGTTCCCGCTAAGGGCGCGTACCTTGGTTGCAGTTTGCCCCCGGCCCTGGTTGGTCGTGCAGGTGGCGGCCACTCGATGTGTCCCTTTCACGTTGATGTTTCTCTCTCTCTCTTCCCCTCCCACTCTATCTGAACAACAACCAAAAAAGTGGGGTTCATTGGGTCTCAAAATGGAAAAGTCTAGGTGGGGCTAAGAGGAGGGTATGGCATCCTGTGTGGCTTGCCCAACCTCTCAGACAGTGTCACCAAGGTGCCATTTCTCTTTTCATCTCTCATTTCTGCCTTTAGGCAGGATTTCTTTCCAGACACTCAGGGTGAAGGGTGGTTGTTGTAGCTGCAGTCTGTATCTGTCTAGGCCAGAGTCCACTGGAAGAAGCAGCTCCTTCTCCAACAGCCAGATAGGAGTCCCTGAGCTATACCGCGCTGGTTCTTGATTGGCCTGACTTGGGTCCTGGACCCAGGGATGAGTCAGTCACTGTGGTGGGGAGACGGGGTGATGGTGGTGGTGGAAAGAACTGAGTAGCTTAGACTTGGGTCTCTTGCTCCTCACAAGACAAAAGCCAGCTTTATGTAAATGAAATCCCTAGTCTGGTGGTGAAAATTGGTGTCTGCCATAGAGCCCAATTATTCCCCTCCCACACAGAAGGAGAGACAAGGGCTGAGCCACCCCAAGAGAAATGGGAAGGGGTGAGCAGGAATTGACACTTCTGCCCATCACCAGCTACCCAGAGGGGTGCCCTTCTGCCAGTTAGACATTTTGGGGAAACAAATCATCTTACACAAGTTCAAGACCCCATTAGAGTGGGCAGAGGGACTGGGATATGCTGACTGTTCCCCCAATATCACAGAGGTTGTGGGACCTGTAAGCATCTGGGTATCTGTTCCAAGCTGCCAGGGGAGGAGAGTAGGGGGCTGGGTACTCCCAGATGGTAAGAGGCCAGAGAGTACACTGGGAGGATGGGGCAAGTGATGCTGCCTGTCTCTGTGTCAGTGCAACGGGATGTCCAACCGCTTCTGGGGCTGGGGCCGTGAGGACGATGAGTTCTACCGGCGCATCAAAGGAGCTGGGCTCCAGGTAACACTCCCAGGTCCTCCACCACCACCTCAGCCATTGTGGCTGCCCTGAAGCTCCCTTCTCTGCCCTCAAATAAGTTCCTGGGGCTTGGAGATGGCATCCCTGGTTCTGATCCCAGTCCTGCCCCCAATAAGCATACCTCTTCTGCATAATGGGAATACAGGCCCCTGCCTGTGGCCTATGACAGACACTGGGACCCTGGAGGACTAGTGGTGAGGGCCAGGGCTCCAGGAAGGGCGACCTAACCCAACTTCCTTTGGCCTCCTTAGCTATTTCGCCCCTTGGGAATCACAACTGGATACAAGACATTTCGCCATCTGCATGACCCAGCCTGGCGGAAAAGGGACCAGAAGCGCATTGCAGCTCAAAAACAGGTGCTCACTGGTCCCCTGACTGGGGATGGATAGGCGGTGACATGGAGGAACCAACAGGCCCAAGCATTTCACCAAGTTCTACTTGAGTCCAAATGGCCCTGTCCACCCCTGTTTGGCTGAGCTTAGTTGAAGGCATTTTGCTTAGGTACCCTTCCCTGCTTGGTGACTGCCATGGGCACCTGGGCACTGGGTCAGCCAATCCCCATGCAGGCTGGGGGTGGGGGGAGGGTGACACTCAGCTGAAGGTGCCAGAATCCCAGGCAGACCTGCAATCCCGGAGTTCCCATCCCTCAAACAGTCTGTTCTCTAGGAGCCATATTAGTAAACTGAAAAACCCCTGCTCTCCTGCTTACTGGGGCATACAGCTGTGGGCAAGCCTTCACAGCTGTGAGCTTCACTTCTCTCTTCAATAGGGTCACAGGACCTCTGATATTGAGGTCATGGGGCATCAGTAGACAGCTGGCACCCACAAAGCCCTGAGTACATGCTCTCTTCCCCTTTCCTTCCCAGGAGCAATTCAAGGTGGACCGGGAGGGAGGCCTGAACACTGTGAAGTACCGTGTGGATACTCGTACAGCCCTGTCTGTGGGTGGGGCCCCGTGCACTGTTCTTAACATCATGTTGGACTGTGACAAGGCTGCTACCCCCTGGTGCACATTTGGCTGAGTTGACTGGACAGTAAAAAGACCTGTACCTGCAGGCCTCACTGCTACTCAGATCCTGGAAAAAACCTCAGGCCCTGGGTCCAGCTCCAATAGGATGTGGAGTAGCCTGAAGCAGCTGACAGCAGGCCTGAGCCAGGACAGGACACTCAGGGTGCCTGGGTTGCTGCTGGCAATAAACAGTGATGGAGAAAGGCTGAGATGTGGCTCCCAGCTGGGACTCTCCGCCCTGCCTCTGCTTGCCCTGCCCTCCTTTGCATGCTGAGACCTGCGGGTTTTGGTTTCAGGACTGCCTCATGCAGAGATATGGTTTAGAGGCCAGGCCGGTGACATGAGTGGCTGGGGCTGTTGGGAGGGTTAAAGTGCAGAAATGAGTGTGAGCCCCACAGAAAGGGAACAGCTGAGAGCAGCTCTAGCTGGTTGTCACCATTTAGGAATGTGGGCCTGTGTTACTGGATATTCTGATTTTTCAAAAGAAACTACAATTTTGGATTCTTAAATGAAATCGGTTAATTATTAAATGATAGCAACTAATTGAAACTTTTAAAAAGTATGGCATTCTGGCTGGGTTGGCTTAGTGGTTCGAGTGTCGGCCTGTGGACTGAAGGGTCTCAGTTCAGTTCCCAGTGAAGGGCACATAATCTGGATTGCAGCTTTGATTCCTGACCCAGTCAGGGTGCACGTGGGAGGCAACCAATTGATTTGGCTCTCTCACATCAATGTTTCTCTCACCCTCCCTCCCTCTCTTCCACTTTCTCTCAAAAAAAAAAATCAATGGAAAAATATCCTCAGAAAAATATCCTTGGGTGAGGATTAACAAAACAACAACTATATATATACACACATACATGAAAAGTATGCAATCCAAACAAAATGTGCTGTGGACCACCATTTTGTCACCTGTGGTTGAGGGGAACGGGATAGGACAAAAGATGACACCTCTTAGTTAATAAGCTGACAAGGAGCTGGGTTAGGGCTGGGGATGGCAAGACCAGGGAAAGCTCAGGTGGGAGAGAAACCAAAGGCACAAGGTTCCTGCTACCTCCCACAGCCCTCTAGGCTCTCTTGCCCTTAGGGAAGCCTGACCTCTGGTGGGCTCTACCTCTGGGAGGGAACTTCATCCTGCCTTACTAAGATGCACAGAAACAGATCCACAGGGCTGTGTTGGCAGTGACTCAGTCATGGCATGAGAGCAAGGACCATGTTCTGACACAGGAAGAAGATGAGAGGAGAATCCCTGGGGTGTGGTCACCCAATGCCAAGGACAGGTGAAGGAGGGGAGCCCATGAGACCATGAAATTGGGGAGTGAGCTTGGAGGAAGCCTGGGGCCAATGAGAGTGAGAGGCCAGGGGCCCTGCAAAGTATGTCACTTGAAGGCATTTGACTGCCAAAGACTGAGGGCAGAAGTCAGAGGAGACTAGGTCCAGTTAAGACTGGTTTAACAATAAATAGGATCCCTGAAATACTGGAGGAAGAGACTGAGGTCCTAGAGTTCAGGAAGGTGGATTCAATAGCTCTGCTCCAAAAAGACTCCTTTGAGGATGTTCTTAGAGCTGTGTGCAGTTGTGTGGGTTGTACACTGTACAACCTAAGCATTAAGCAAAGGTAAGTGAAGTGAAGCTTCAGGCTCCATGTAACTGTTCAGATGTGTAATAGAGGGTCCCTGTGAACCTAAATTGGTCTTACCCAGTGATTCAGCTTCACTCACCACAGTGAGGGGCAAACAGGCTGCAATTACAGTGCAAGGTAGTGGGCAGGACTCTCAACTTGAGGTCCAGGAGGGAAATGGCGCACTTTCTTTATGCCGGTCTCCTGGACAACCCTGCCTGGGCTTGTGTGATGTGGTGGCAAAACTCCAGCCTCTTGGAGTGGTGGGAATGAATGTGACATCAAAGCCCCCAGCTCTGTACTCATCTGTCAAGACCTAAAAAAAATTGGGTGTTCCTTTCTTTATACTTGCACCAAGGATGCAGAATGAGCAGAAGAAAAGCAGGATCAGCTGAGTCAGCCTGGGCTGGGGCACAACTCTGATCTTAGGCTCCACACTCACTCATGGCTGCTGCTGCCATCTCCATGATCAAGTACCAGCAGGCACCCCAGGCCAGGCCTGGTGCAGCCCCATCACTTCCCTGTCCAGGTCTCTGCCAGGCCGCTCCAGGAGAGGGCAAGGGCTATGCAGTGGTTTGCAAGGGAAGAAGCAGACAGCACTCCTGCTTCCTTGATACCTTGGTTGCCTCCTCTGTGGAGTGGAGCTGACATCCCTGTTTCGCTGGCAAGGTGTGGGTGAAGTGAATCCAGGACGAACTAGCACTTGCTGAGCATTCACCACCTACAAATTCTTTACAGCACATTTCACTTAGGCTTCTTCACCTAAGCTAGGTCCTGCTGATTAATCTGTTTAGTAGCTGAAGATGGTGAAGCACAGAGAACTAAGTGACTGGCCCAAGGTCAAAGAGCTAATACGTGGTGGAACTGGGACTTGGCCTTAGCACCAGATTCCTTCACCCCTGGCCTGTACAGCATGTGCTTGTGCACAGATGTTCCTTACCTTCCAGACCATTCCTCCTTTCCCTGGCTGGGGAGGGCGGGCCAACGTGATCTGGTGTTCTTCCCACCTCTGGGATGAAACCAGGGTCATGGGTGAGATGCAGAGTGTCTGCCCCATGCCGCCTCTGCCTGGATTAAGATGGGGATTTGGCTGCTAGAGAGGTCTCTTGGGGCATCAGTGGGATCAAGAGCATGATACTGTGCCTGAAGAATGTACAAGGTGCTTGGGGAGTGTCTCCCTGAGGCAGCATGTGCTTGCTGGTAGAGTCTGTTGTCAGGATGAGAAGGGTTCTAGAGGGATCAGCATGTGCAATACAGAGACCGGAGAGAGCACATTATGTTCAGGGACCTGGAAGTGGTTCTGGGTGTCTCTGGTCTGCCAATACAGTGCAGGAATAGAGGGAGGTGAGCAGCAGACGGAAGGTTAGGGTGAGCCATGAATATCTGTGTGCCACACTGTATTTTATTCGCTGGGTTCAGTGTTTTCAAGCAGGGGAAGTTTTGAGCAGGGAGACACACTGGTCTGTGTTACAGGAAGATCCATGAAGGCAGGATCCAGGCAGACAGAAGGGTCGAGTCTGGAGGACAGAGAACACCCAGGTCAAATGAGAGATGATGAAGCCAGAGTGCTGCAGTGAAGGCATGGGGAAGGTGGGGTCTGCAGGAGCCAGGGTCAGTGGTACACCTTCCTTCACAGAGGATCTGCTTCCCTGCACACTTTCCCAAAAGGCCAAATGAATATACATGGACTTTCTGCCATCTTAGCCCTCATGCCTTGAGAGCATTAAAAAACAAAAACAGCCCTGGCCAGTTTGGCTCGGTGGTTAGAGCGTCAGCCCATGGATGAGAGAGTCCTGGGTTTGGTTCCTGCTGAGGGCACGTACCTCAGTTGCAGTTTGTCCCTGACCATGGTTGGGGTTGTGTGGGTCACAACCACTCAATGTGTCTCTCTCACATCCATGTTTCTCTTTCTTTCTTCCTCCCTCTCTTTCGTCCCCTCTATCTGAAGATAAATGCAAAAATGTCCTCAGGTGAGGATAACAAAAAAAACAAAGGAAAAGCAAATTCCAGTTTCAGCTTCGACATGTAAAGGGTTTGGGCCATCATTCTCATCCTTACAACAACTTGGCTAAGTAGCTCAGGTGTTTGGAGTGTCGTCCCAATAACACCAAGGTTGTGGATTCAGTCCCTAGTCAGGGTACATACAGGAGTCAACCAATGTATCGATGGGTGGAACAACAAATTAATCTTCCTCTCTGCTTTCCTCTCTAGAATCAATAAATGGGAAAAAATAAAAGAAGGGAAAAAGCTCAAACTGAAGAGCGACTACTTTTCTTGGTTCCATCGGATCATTGAAATTGCAGTGCAAACTGCCCCCCAAGTGTGGAGAGCTGGGCAAATGCAGTCAGGGTGAAGCTAAGCTGGTCTAGAGCAAATGCTGCTGCAGTCACACTGGTAGTGATATGTAAACAGTAATTGTGACAAAGTGATGCCACACTCATTTGCTGTACTATCGTACTCAAGCAATGACCTCTGTTTGGCCAGAGTTATTGGAGGATTAAAAAACATTCAAAGATAAGTAGCATGAAATCCAAAGTTACTGTATTTAGTATCTTAGTCTGTTCCAGCTGCTATAACAAAAATACCATACACTGGGATGCTTAACCAACAAATATTTATCACAGTTCCGGAGGCTGACAAGTTCAAGATCAAGGCACTGGCAGATTGTGTCTGATGAGGGCCCACTTCCTGGTTCATAGATGGCCATTTTCTCATTGTGTCTACACATGGCAAAAGGGAGCTCTCTGGGGTCTCTTTATAAGGTCAAAAATCCCATCATTCATTAGCTCTCCACCCTCATGTTCTAATCACCTCTCAAAGGCCCAACCTCCTAATACATCACCTTGGGGAAAACATAAACATTTAGTCTATAGCATTTATTTTAATTTTTTTTTCATTTATTTTTTAAATTGATTTTTAGAGAGAGAGGAAGGGAAACATCGATGAGAGAACATCGATTGGCTGCCTCCTGCATATCCCCCACTGGGGATTTGGCCCACAACCTGGGCATGTGCCCTGACTGGGAATCAAACTGGTGATTTCTTGGTGCATGGGTCAACGCTCAAACACTGAGCCACACTAGCCGGGCTTAAAATTTTTTTTTAATTGATTTTTAGAGAGAGAGAGGGACATTGATCTGCTGCCTCCCACACACTCCTGACCGAGGATCAAGCCCACAACCTGGACATGTGCCCTGATCAGGAATCGAACTGGTGACTTTTCAGTGCAAGGGACAATGCTCAATCAACTAAGCCACAATGGCCAGGATTCTTTATTAAAATGTTTTATTCATTAGAGAGAGAGAAACATTGTTTCACTCATTTATGCATTCATTATTTGATTTCTGACCTGGGCTTGAACCCACAACCTTGGTATATCAGGATGACACTGTAATCAACTGAGCTATCTGGCCTGGGCACCACTGTCAATTTCTTAGTTTTGACCAATGCATTATAGCTATGTAAGATATTAACCATAGGGCCCTGGCTGGTTTGGCTCAGCGGTTAGAGCGTCGGCCTGCGGTCCTGAGAGACTCGGGTTCGGTTCCCGCTAAGGGCATGTACCTCGGTTGCAGTTTGTCCCCAGCCCTGGTTGGGTTGTGTGGGTGGCAGCCACTCGATGTGTCTCTTTCACGTCGATGTTTCTCTCTCTCTCTCTGTTCCTCTCTCTCCCTCCCACTCTACCTGAACAAAAAAAGGAAAAATGTCCTCGGGTGAGGATAAAAAAAAAAAAAAAAAGATATTAACCATAGGGAAAGCTGGGTAAAGGCTATACAGAAATTTTCTGTATCTTTACAATTTTTCTGTAGATCTCAAATATTCCCAAAGGAGAAACATTTTTAAGAGAAGTTACATATGAGCAACATATAAATTGTGCAGTAAATTATAGAATTTCACTCTTCCCTTTGGGCTGAGAGAGTTGAGAATTTCCTCTGCTACTGCACCTTTATGAGCTATGCCCCCTCACAAGTAAGGTTTAGCCGTGGGCTCCCCATGCTCTGATATTGGATTAGAAAGAAGTAAATGGAAAAGGTCTTTTGTTGTCTGTTAGTGCAGCACCGAGTATTTCCTTCCCATAGGAAGGGATGTAGAAGATGTTTGTCCTTAATGACCT